TATGTGCCGTCGAGTCGGCCCCGACTCATAGCGACCCCTCCTTGGGTTTCCAAGGCAGTATCACTACGGAAGTAGGATTGCCCAACCTTTCTTCCGAGGAGTGGTTGGTGGGTTTGAACCGCCAGCCGTCTGGTTAGCAGGCAAGTGTCTTAGCCACTATGCTACCAGAGCTCCCAGCCACAATATGAGATGAAATTATTAAAATATTTGAAACAAAAACAATTTTTTAATGGTAACATTATTCAATCTTCCTTGGAAAATCGATCTTGAAATAATAAATACCTTCTTGGAGTACATCTTTTAGGGTTATCCTCTCCCTGGATATTGCTATATCCTTCACCTTGGCTTTGGCCTCCAAAAGAGTGACACTTCTCAGGTCGTTCTTCTCTATTCGCAAAGTAGGATAACCTGAGGAGCCAACAAAGCCAAACCAAGCAATATAAATACCCTTTTATGGCATCAGGGCCAAGGAGTTCAGTTAGAACCTCATGGCTTAAGTCACAGATACAAACAAATACGAAAATCATAAAAGGAAAAAGACATTTACATGACTGAGGAGAGCTACTTAGGCAGTGCTTATTTATTTTTAAACTTTTTATTGTTATTTGGGTGAAAGTATACAGAGCAAATTGGTTTTTTATTCAACAGTCCACACAGATTTTGTTTTGGGACACTGACTGCAATTCCCAAAATGAAACAGCACTCTTCCACTTCCTCCCTGTGGTTACCATCTCCCTCTGTCCTTCTTCCCCACCCATTTCTGCCTTCTAAGCTTTATCCCTCAGCAAATGCTGCCCTTTTGATGTCCTAGGGTTGACTGTTCTAAGAAGTAAGTACCACCTTTCTATTACTTGGCTGAAAGCTGAACCCTAAGATGCCCAGAGTAAGTTCAGTTTCAAGCCTGAAGGGTGACTAAGGGCCAGTCTTAGAGGCTCCACCTGTCTCTATCAGACCAGTAAGCTTGGTTTGTTTTTTTTATTATTTTGAGTATTGTTCCACATTTTTTTCCCACTCTATCCAGGATCTCCTACTGGGATCCCTTTCAGAGTGGCTGACAGTGGTAGCCAGGCACCATCTAGTTCTTCTGGTCTTGGGGTCATGGAGGCTGAGGTTCATGTGATCCTCCATACTAATATTTTAAGGAAACACCGTCCAGCCTCCCACAATCCTACCTCAAAATATTAAAATGACAAATCCTGAAAATATTATCATTACCAACAGTTCAATTGACTTTCAGCCAACTGAAATAAGCTTTAATTCATGAAATTTTATTTAATCCCTCTTATGGACAGCTTTTCTTCTAAAGATTCTTTAATATAATCTCATAACAACAGAAGTTTCCAAATGAAGAGATGTCTGAAAAAAATAACTTTTCTAACAAAATATACAGCAATTTTTCCCCCCTTGCTTTTGTGTCTTTTGTTACTGAATGCTGAACACTCTGGGCAGAACAGTAGAAAACATGGCAAACATTGTGTTTACACCCAGAAATGGGCATGCCTCTTCCGTTAGGTAAACACTGTATGTGCATGGGGGTGGGGGGTCACTCTAGTCAGGTAGCTGGGCTGAGTTTAGGTTTTGCTGCTGTTCATTATATTTAGCACACAAACTTTAAATTCTTCTAGTTGTGGACTGCTGCTACCTTGTGAAGCCTGGTGAGGAAAGATTTTTCTTAATGTTTGTACTCCACCTTCAGCTTTTGGAAGCCCCTGCACTCCTGTACCTTAAAGGGATCTCTCTCTGTGCTTTGCCTCTTCCCCTAGGGCAGATTGCTGCTGCCTATAACTCAATGGGAAGCTCAGGGTGAGGACAGGGGTTTCTCAGTTATCCTGGGCCAACTTCATCCTGAGTCTCAGGCTTTTGTTCCTATCTTCCCCTAGAATCACTGGAACTTGAACCCACCAAACAACCTTATCATTACAAGTAGAAAAACCAAAAGTTATATGCCTCCTGATATGATACAATAAGAAGTTACATCCTAATCCACAAAGTATTTTCATTAGAAAAGATAAATAAATAAATCTGGATCTAATCAAGCCTCTAGATCTAACTATTGGTTTACAGAAATTATGATAGATAAAGGAATATGTTAAACACCACCATAAGGACACAGCCAGATCAGAGCATGAGAACTTTATTACGGGACAAGCAACCGTGTTCCTTCAACAAATGACAGGAAGGAAAATAAGAGTGGGGAACTATTATGAACAAAAAGATAATTAAGATACATATGTACAGACATTGTTTGGATCATTATTCAAACAAACAATAGATATTTTTGAGACATTTAAGGAAATCTAAACACTAGCTAGATTTAAATCAAGAAACTTAATTTTGCTACATGTGACTACTGTAGTTATGTTTTTTTAAAAAAAAAGATAGGAGTCCAGATTTGGTAGGAAGACATACAGAAGAATTTCCAGATAAAATGAAGTAATGTTGGCAATTTGCTTTAAAATACTACACCAGGGAGAGGGTTGGGTAAAGATTTTTTAAAATTGGCAAAATATCACAAATTATTGAAACTGAGTGATACACACATGGGAGTTCATTACATGACTTATTATGTATATTTGAAATTTCCATAATGAAAGTTTTTAAAAATGAGGAGCCCTGCTTGTGAAATGTGATGTTACTTTTGCCAGAATTTATATAATGTCATCTTGAGGACTCAGAAATAACTGTTTTGTCTTGCGTATCATGAGTATTGGTACACCCCCACTGAAGTAAACAAATAAATAACTGCTGACTTAGGAATGCTGTGAATTGCAGGACTGACAGGCTTCTTTGTTCACAATGGCTGTACTAAAGAGGAAAATTTGGGACACACTGGTAAGAATTTATATTGAATGTTAAGTTTGCATGTATAAAACATTCTCCTGGCTTGATCTTACTTTCTCATCCTATTTTCCCTTTGCCTCAATTTTCTTACCTAGTTTAAATTGATCTTGTCACATGAATTGTATTTTTGCAAGACATTTTCAATCCTTTCTGGAATATGGTAGGGTATAAGTAAATGAAAATTGAAAGGTCCTTAAAGAAATGGTTTGAAACACTTAAAAATGGAATTATCAATAGAATGATGCCATGCCTTCATGATTCTCAGATATATGATTATAGCTACCATTTTTTCAAAAGGAAATGAGAAAAATACAAAATGGTTTTTAATTCAAATAACTTCTTGTGGCGCATAACTCTCTAGCCTACTTCTATGAAGCCAAAAGAGAGTTGAGTAAGGGGCTCTTTCTCTATACTAGGGCTCGTAGCGAGCCAAATGTCTACAAATCCACTGGCAGTCAAGCACTCAGGAAGCAAGGTACAAAAGCCTCAGACAAGTGTGCGTCCTATATCGGAGGCCTGAAGCACCCTCACTGCTGTGGGCCTAGTACTCTGCAAAATCACATTCTCAGAAGTCCTCTGATTTGTAAACTTCCCATCCAGAATCAGGACTTAAAAACAGATCTGTGATTTGCCAGTAGTAAGTGAGGCATGGTCTGTTTGTGTATTCAAAAGACACCAACTTGTGCGTCAAAAATATAACAATAGGTCTAAAAACACCGTATACTTGAGAATGTGCCTAAGATCCATCAAGAAGGGAAATGTCTCATTCTCAAGCAATAATAATAATAATAATAAAAGTTTATTCTTGTTATTCACATTTAGATAATTTTCCCCCTTAGTGTCAAAAGGTAGGTAAGTATATGACTGCAAATGTAAAATATAGGAGGTAAGTTTGTTCCACTTACCTTTGTGTGTGCATCTTTATTGTCAACATGGAGATATAAGTAATTAATACAAGTCAAAATGTTTTAATGATCAATATTCAGCAATTCAACTTTACAAGTATAAATTAACATGTTTTAAGATTTCTGCAAAATGCCAAGATTTCAATTTTTAGAAAATATCAGTAAATTTCTTATTAATGGTATCAAAAAACATATAAATAAATGCATTTTCATTGAGTTCTTTTAAAACAATTTTGTTTTTAGCATATCTGAAAAATGAATTACCTCCTTAAGGTAATATCCACAATTGCAAACAAGTAAATTTCTTGATAGCAACAAAAATTATTTTTAAGAAATAAATATATCCAATCCTCATTTACAGACAGAGTTAGGTTCCAAAGACCAGGTTATTATGCAAAATTGGCAATATCGAGAGTCAGGGCTGTCCCCCAACACTAACCACCCACTGGGCATCCCTGGCACAGAGATGCAGCATGGCACAATGGGGGGCCCTCCAATCTCCACACCTTCCCCACCACTGCAAGAGTTGGGAGTTGTGGTAGTTACGTGTTGCCTACCACCTTGCGGTACCTACCCTGTGTGTAGACTCCGTTTGTATCCCTCCTGCTGCTTCTCACCACCTGCCCTGGGCAGAGACCCCACCTATCCCCATTCATCCCTGGCCTTGCAGCCACATAGCCCCCCCTTCCTCTTCTCTCTCTTCTTCCCTCCCTCCATTGACTTCCCTTAGCACCTTCGTGCCCTCACCCAGCCTCGCTGTCTTACTGCAACCTTTGTCTTCCCATAAGGCCCTTTGGGGCCAAACCAAGGCATTACTGGATGAGAATGGGAGAAGGTGTCCTGCAGCCAGTCAACCATCGTCCCTCATCCCTTGTGTGGCCCATCTGTCGTCAGGGCCTCTGGAATATCATTCAGAATGCCCATGGAGGATACCTAATGCCTGGTTGTAGTCCTACATGGGGCCCAGACCATCAGAGGTGCTGCTTGAGAATTTTTTCAAAATTGTTGTAAAAGCAAAATGTTGAATAATGAGATAGTCAATAAGTAAGGAGTATCAATGTGTTTCCACTGACTTTTTAAAAAAGTGTTTTAATTTTAGCATATATCAATTGCATTACCTACTTCCTTAAGATCATATCATCAATGAAGAACAGAACTCTGATGAGCAAAGCTTGACATCTAAACATTAAAAGCAACAGTGTGCCTTTTCAGAACCGTCTAAACTACTTTCATGTTGTTGTTGTTACGTGCCGTCGAGTCGGACCCAACTCACAGCGACCCCTCCTTGAGTTTTCGAGGCAGTATCACTACAGAAGTAGATTGCCCCATCTTCCTTCCAAGGAGTGGCTGGTGGGTTTGAACTGCCAGCCTTCTGGTTAGCAGTCAAGTGCCTTAGGCACTACACTACCAGAGCTCCCAAACTACTTTCATGGCTATCATCAAATCTCCTGATGATAAATACTTCTTTCTTTCTTATGTTAGTGGTGATGGTAGTTGCTATTACGATGTCTCTTAAATTCCTTTTAATGTAAAGTGTTCCCTCCTTCCCTTTTTGTCACAATCTTACTGAAAAAGCTAGGTCAGTTATCCTGACGAAAGCATCAGCTTCTTTGACTATCATTCAACATGTTCCTCTATCGCCTGTATTTCCAGCAAACTGCAAATCAGTTCTCCAGCCTTGATTAATTCAAGTAAATTTGGGGGGGGGGGGCCGGGAATAGGAAGTGCACAAGAATATTTCATGGCAGGTCCATCATATCCAGAGTGAAAAATATTTACTTGTATCACTTTTAGTGATGCTAAGTTTCATCAGTGACTTCAGGTGATCATAGCTTTATTCCTTTGATGTAAATTTATTTCCTCATTACCCTTTGGTTTTTAGGGTTTTAATCACTGATGGCCTTTTCCTAAATAAAATATTCTATTAGGGGTTGCAAATATGATTTTTTTTCTCCTAATTCTGTCTTTCCTCCCACATTTATTAGCTAGGACTCTTTGATAAAGAAATATTAGCTGGGCATATATTATTTGATTCCACTTACATGTAATATCTAGAAAAGGCTAATGTATAGAGATTAAAGGTTACCAGTAGTTCTCAGGGGCAGGAGAGTGGGGAAAGGGGAGTCACTGCTTAGGAAGCAGTGAATTTCTGTTAACAGGTATGTGAAACTTGGCAATTATTACTGGTGAGGGTTTCACAACAGGACTGATATAATCAGCAACACTGAATTAATATGTAAAAAATGTTGAATTGGTAATTTGTTGTGCTATATATAGTCTTCCCAAAATAAGGAAGGTAAGGAGGGAAGGAGAGAAAAGAGGAAGAAGGGAGGGAGGGAGGAAAGGAAGAAAAGACAGAGGAAAGGATATTTTCCCTTATCAGTTAGGACTATCCTATTACCTGAAATGAAGTTCATATTGCCAGTTGTCAGAGTAAAGTATTATCAGTGTGTTAGTCACCTCCGATAATGATCAATTTTTTAAAAAGGTATCATTATAAACTTGTGAATTTTTATACATTTTGTATGTTTTAAACCATTGCAGTCACTATTCTTTTTGATGTTCAAATTATTCCCTCTTTGGCCAGTGGGAACTCTAAGTCTTTGGTAGCTTCTTAGATTGCTGGCTCAGTAACACATGCTAGGTTACCTTGTACATTTCCTGCTCCAGGCCTGGAATCAGCACTTCTCCAAAGAATCCTGGTTCTTTTTATTGAGAAGCCACAATACCGCATTACATAGAGGACAGATAAATCTTTAGTAAAGATTAAACACCAGTCCAGGCAAGGTAACAGTTACTTCCCTAAGAAAGCCTAATTAATCAATGGCACCACTGACTCAAGCACTGACTTAGGCTCTCTGGACCACTGTTTGTCGTGATGATTATGTTGCTTCTTATTTCTATGGTAACTGATTATTTTCCCCAAAAACATATACATGCTACAGTGAACACTTTAATCAAAATCTTGTCCAAAAAAGGAAATCAGATCATATGTTCTCAACCTTCCAACAGGACCTAGCTTCTTATCCTTACCCATGGCCCACAAGACTGTGAAAAAATTCATTAAAACACAGTTTCTGTTTTTATACAGCTCAATGGCTTATTCGATATAATTACCTAAAAAACTCCCTTTCAAATTTTATAGAAGTGACTCAATAACCCTTTTAAAATTAATTTATGGAAATTTCCCCAAGTCAAGACTAAATGTAGCAACTCAAATTATTTTTTAGTTTCCCAATTTTATGTTTTATTCCATATGCTAGAAAACAAAAGTTTATGTTTGTACACACATTAGATACTATGTCCCATAAATATATAAATATATATATATACATGTCCCATAAATGCACTAGCCATGCAGGACCACAGACAGCTTCAATAAATCTAATAATTTAATTAGAATTAAATTAACTCTTACTGGTGATAGGAGTTGCATTGTTGGGCGTGTCGGCTCTCAGATACTGAGTTGTCTGAGTCGATGGTTGAGACAGCCCTTGGGAACTACTGCTGGCACTGATGCTGCAAATTTTTAAGATAAAAGTATTTGGCAAGTTAGCTTCAATGGAAAAAAAAAAAATTACACACATAAAATGCATACAGCCATTTTAACCAGCCTAAAATCCTAATGAAGTTATAATAATACAGGGACTCCCCATCACAAATGTTTCATAGTGAAATTTTAATATATCTCATAATATAGAGTTCTATCTTTTCTTTCCTGTCTGTCTCCAGAGTCATCAAGCAGGTTTAACTTATCAAAGCCATTCAGAAATGTAGGTACTAGTCCTTAGACACTGCAGATAGCAGCTCTGAACCTCACACAACCACATGTTAGGGAACTATGGATCATTTCTGAAGAAAAGTGCCCATGCCACTTCAATTAGACTACTTTTTAGAAAAGGAATAGGAAAAACCTCTTTTAATGATTGTCTGAAATCAAAGGGGACTGCATATGAGAGACTATCAAACTAAATTGAATATGCCAACATGCACAAAGCTTGAGGAGGGGTATTGTGTCATGTTCAAGTTCGTTTAAAAACATACACCTTCTTTCTACTTCTCCAAGTCCATCTTTTTTAGAATTTGTGGAACTTTTCAGAAATCTCTAGAACATGAAACATTCTATCACATCATATTCTCTAAATATAGGAGACCAGAAGATGGTAGGTTCAAATTGCTGCTAAACCCTGTGTTCAAGATCACTACAAATTAATGCCTCACAAGTGCATACTTTTGTCTCTCCAATGGGTAACAACCTTGCTTTTCTCACTCAGGTCATCCTTAGGCACATTCCAGTCTCACTGCCCCAGCCCTTGTAATTATGCAGCAGCGGAGAAACGAATCACAGAAATTGAACATCAAGAGTGAAAACAGATGGCAGGATGCCATCCCCTTCAGGATACATGTTCCATGCCTGCCTCAACTACATGATCAGTATAGCCTAACCAGAGGCTGCCACCTTTTCTAAATATACAAAATCATTTTTAACTGACCATATCCCACCTATCTATGAGTTGAAACTGACTCTGTGGCAATGGGTTTGGTTTTGGTTTCCCATGTGACAGTTCTCTATTTTTTTAATGATTGAGAAAATACATAATGATAAAAGGCTGCTATGTAGATAGCAATGCTTATATATGAATTTGTATATCAGCCATTTCAAGAGCCTACATATATTTGAAAAATATAACTACATAACATCCTAGGCAATGAGTACTATAACTCCCTACGTAGCCCTTTATCCCTAATAACAATCTACTATTATAATGACAATACTTCTGAAAAGTTATTGTTAATAATCTAGAAATTTCCTACAATAAAACATTTGGAGAATACTGATTATATGGAAGCCACTCTGAAGATACATGTTTTCTTAATGAAATACTGCTCAGTGTGTCTGCCTTTAAGAAGTCTATCATCATTTTAGGTTATCTACTTCTTCCTGTATCTAGTCAGCCCTGTTTCTCCAACATCTGGAAATGCTTTTCAGCTCACAGAGAATATAACAAGGATTCATCAGCCTGTTACCTAGTAAGAATTCTGGAAAATCATTTAAGGCTGGAAGTTATTTAGGAATTGATCTGCATTAAGTCTACAACAAGTAGTGGGGATGGAGCAGTAAGGTAAATGGAAATGAAGAGCATAAACCTTGGCATCAAAACTATCAGCACCATTTACTAGCTGCATGACCCAGGGCAAACTACTTCCTCCTGGCGTCTTAGATTCCTCATAAATAGAATAAGCATAATACAGTGAAACCTGTGAAAGCTGGAACTCAACAGGACTGCTTTACTTTTCCAGGTCTCATAAGTTTTCTACCTTTGACAGAGGGCAGTCTTAACATTTTTCTATTTCTTTTATTAGTAGAAAATATTTTAGTTTTCCTCTTCTGACAGGTTTCTTTTTTTTTTTTTAATTGTGATTTGAGTGAAAATTTACAGAGAAAATACACTTTGTCTCATGACATTGACCACAATTTATAACAATGCAACAGCTCCCCTCCTACTTCCTCCCGATAGTTACTTCTTCCCTGTGTCCATCCCTCCATGCACTCCTGCCCCCTGAGCTGTCTCCCTGTGCATAAGCAGCCCATCTTTCTCCCATGAGTGTTCTCTCCAAGGAGTATATCTTACTTGAGGAAAATAAAATGTTCAACTCATATGCCTGTCTTTTGTTTGGCTGGAAACCACAGGTGTGGGTTCAATTCCAGACCTGAAGGGCAGCTAGGGGCCATAGTCTCAGTGGTTCCACCAGGCTCTATCGGACCAGCAAACCTGGTCCCCTCCCCTTTTTTTTTCCCAAATGATTTTGAGTTTTGTTCCACATTGTTACCCCTCTCTATCGAGGATCTCCTACACAGATCCTCTTCCAAGTGGTTAACAGTAGTAGCCGGGCACCATCTAGTTCTTCTGGTCTCATAGTCGTATAGGCTGCAGATCGGATGGTGTACCAGTCGCTAAGACTAATTGTTTCCATGAATTTTTGGTCTTCATCATTCTTCTTTGCTCTGGACAAAAAGAGATCCATCGTTGCATCTAGATGGCAGCTTGCAAGCTTTTAAGATCCCAGTTGCTACTCGCCAAAGTAGGAGGTAGAACAATGTTTTGTGTAGTATGTTATGCCAATTGAGTTTGATGTCCTCTGCGACTATGGTCCTGAGCCCACAGGTTCAACTACTCAGTCCCTCTGGGTAGCTGGCTGTGACCAAGCAGTGACTACTACCTTGCCCCTTGCTCTGACAGTTTTCTGTCTTAGTCTCTGGCTTTCACAGGTTTTACTATACTACTCCCTGAGAAGGTTACTAAAAGGATTACATGGGGGAAAAAAAATGTAAGTAAAGCATTTAACAATGTCTGGTCTCAACACAGATTTATAAATTATGATTCAAAATTTTGTAACCATGATACATCTCCACAAGGAACCGCAGGGCAGCTATTTCTTGTAGTTCTGACTACCACTCAAAGATAAGACTAGAAAGTAAAGTTGTCAGAAGTCCAGGACTCAAAAACGAAGAAGAAAAGTATTACCGTAGTCAAAGGAGCTCTGGTGGCATAGTGCTACTAAGGCATTTGACTGCTAACCAGAAGGCTGGCGGTTCAAACCCACCAACCACTCCTCAGAAGGAAGGTTGGGCAATCTACTTCTGTAGGGATATCGCCTCGGAAACCCAAAGAGGGATCACTATGAGTCATATCCGACTGGATTCAAAGGCGGGTGCGGGGAGAGAACCAAGCAATAAAGGACTTCAGTTACCCAAAAAATGGGACTAAGAAAACCTACCTCTCAGAATTTTTGAAGTTCAAATTATATGACATATGTGAAAGTGCTACTTACTTGCAACCAATATACCACTTGTAGTTGAATAACAAAATCATAGACCCCAAATAACTAGTCTTTGTTTTTCTCTTCAGCAACTGAACAGTAGGTGGCACTCGTGTACCACCTGAGAAATCTTGTGGGCACACAAAAGTGTTATAGCTACGTAAATTTTTCATTCATTCAACAGATATTAAGGGGTCCCTACAATGAGCAAAGTACATGCTAAGTGGTCAGAACAAAGCTTCTCTGGAAGCCAAGCTTACTATTCTCAGGGAAACAGAGAGCCAGCGTCCTGCCCTTGACATTTATTAAAGTAGGTACCTAGGCAACTATATCACAGGAGGTGGAAAATTAGAAGAAAAAAAATGTACATCTGCTATAACTTAATAATTTAAAACCAGTCTAAATAAGTTATCTCATTTGATTTTCATAAGTAAGATTAGCTATGGAGATTTTAAGTTAGGACTTCGGGCTCCCTGATCTGAAAGAGCTTTCATCTAATAGGAGGGCAAGACAAGTACAGAAAAAAGCATTACACAAAGAAAAAACATAGTAACTGCTCCGCAAAAAAAGGGACCTGGAGGGGAGGGGTAAATGGATGGTTGGGAGGCTTAGAAAGGACTTCATGAAGGATATGGCAACAAAACTAGACTTGGAAGAATGGACAGGTGAGAAGTGTAAGGAACCCTGTGGGCAAAGAGGAAACATGGACAAAAGTCCTGAAGGGCCAGGTGTGGGGTGAAAGTGATGAACAAGTAATCATCTGACTGAAGCATAAGGAAGGATAAAGTAAGAAAGGGAGAAAAAGGTTTTAAGAGTATGGGAGATACATCTCCACAGAAAGTAGAGCTTCGAAAGCCAAGTTATAAAGCTGGGGATATCTTCAGCCAGCAATTGGAAATCACTGAGGAAGAAAATTAGTATTGAGAAAATAAAGGTGTCTATCATTTCTTCTTCACCTTTCACTGATCCTGGCTATGATGTCCTTCTTCTCCTTGTCTCTGACTTACCCACGCTGGACAAGTACCTTATTTGTTCCCATACTGTACTATATGTATCACAGTCATCAAATCTGCATACTTTAATAATTGTGGGTCAATGTCAAAGATTAAATCTTTGAAGCCATGAGTATATTATTAATTTTTTAATTCCTATCCCTTAGCAAAATATCTAACCCAGTTTATCTCAAACTGGTACACATCAGAATCATCCAGGAAGCTTTAAGAAAAATACTGATGCCCAAACATCACCCAGACCAATTCTATCAAAATCACTGGACAATGGGACCCAAATACTGACATGTTTTAAAAGCTTCCACCATGACTCTAATGTGCAACTCAATTGAACACCACTTACTTAACTCACAGCAGGTATTCAATAAATGTTTACTGTCTGGCTGGTTAGATAGATGGATGAATAGAGAATGAGGGAGGGAGGAACATGGGGAAAGAAAAGAGCTATTTTAAAAAGGCAGTAGTAGTTTAGAACAGAGTCATATCAAGGCAGATAGAAAAAACATCTTTATCTCTACTTCTCACCAACAACTAATAAACAGTAATTTCTGACTTCACATTTTTTTTTTTAATTGTGATTTGGGTGAAGATTTACTGACTTCACATTTTTTAAAAATAAAAATATCAGAGACACACAGGAATGACAATTAGGAAATCTTATTCTTCCTTTGGCCTGTTCATCTCCCTCCTTCCCCTTCACCACCGTGCACTTGTGCATGTGTGGACTCCCATGTATACAGAAATAACTGCTTTCATTTTTCTTTCCTTTCCCAAAGTATGTACAATACCTGTCATCCAGTTCAATCCTTTTCATACTATGAAGGTGCAAAACAGCTAATATTATTGCTACAAGAAATATTACTGCACAGCAAACCCCTACACTGATATAAAACACACGTGTAGAAGTGGTTGGAGCTGCATGTACAGGATCATCTGAAATAAAAATGAAAAGCACAGATTTTAGACAAATGCTATCAATTATTTTCTGACCCAACATACACAATGAATATCCTTTAATATTTATGAAATTTTTATTTCATGTGCCTACTCTTTGACAAAAGACTAAGCAGTTACCAGTAGTAATGTTAGGATAAGTTCACATAAATATTTTGGTATATTTTTATTGTAGTTTTCAAAATGTTTTTAATAGAACTTTTCAATGGAATCTAATAGTCACTCAAAAATGCTATGCATAAAATAAACTGTCTATAGCAGTTGTGTCTAATGGAACTTTCTGTAGTGATGGAAGTGTTCTATAATGTTCTGTTAGTACAGTAGCTACCAGCCGTTTGTGGCTATTAAGCATTTAAAATGTAGCTAATAGAAATGAAGACCTCAAGTTTTAATTTTATTTCATTTTGATTAATTAAAGTTAATTAGCCACATATGGCTACCACATGTGAAGAGAGATGCTCTCTATAGGTTCTTTGTAAGTCCTCAACAGTGATGCCTGGAGTATAGAGGGATCAGAGATCTTTTTGCTGCCAAGGATCACTGACTCCAACAAAGGAGCCCATGAGTTAAAAAAGGAAAAAAAAAAAAAAAGAAGTTTTTCTTTCTGTTTGGAAAATAAGGCTCTTCATTAAATAATATTCAGCCTTCTATTATTCAGAAAAGAAAGACAAAGAAAGCCTCAAATAACTCCATAACAGAGAGATACCACAAAGGCAAACTGAGAAAGAGACACAGAGACAAAGTCACAGAGAATATGAGTGAGCAGAGTAGAAGACATACAATCAGAAGTACCATCGTTAAGACTGGAAATTCAAGTAGGGTTTGATGATGAGTGCTCACATCATACACCTAGTGATTATTGGTCATTCAACTACTACTTGTTAGCTCATGCTCTGTACCAGATACTATCCTTGATGCTGGATGTTCAGCAGTGAAAACAGCAGCCACAAGCTCTGCCACTAGGCTGTTTATAACTGTGTATGTGTACGTGTAGGAGAGTGTGGGAAACATTCAACAAATACACACACAAAAAAAATAAGAAGAGCATTAGCTGCTGCTTCTGCCCAGATCATTATTCCTCCCTCAGATCTTCACCAGACTTGTCCACTCCCCTAATTCATACAGGCCTCTCAAGCATTACCTCCTAAACGAGGTCTTCCCTGACTACCTATCTCAAACAGCCTCCACTCATTCTATTACTTTCTATCCTTTAACCACTTTATTTTTCACCACAGCACTTCTCATCACTTGACATATACACAGTCACCTGTGCATTGTTTGTCTGCCTCCTGCCAATGCTCCTTGAGACTTGTTCTGTTCATTGCTGTATCCTCAGCATCTGGAATAGTGCCTGCTGCATGCATAATAAGCACTCAGATATGTGTGGCATGATAAGTGAGTGAACAAATTAACAAATAACAAATGAAAATAACTAGTGATAAGTGCTACACAGCTATTCAAGAGAAAATGAGGAGCTAGAGAATAACCATGCAGCTACAGTGAAACCTGCGAGTTGGAACTCAACAGGACTATTTTATTTTTCCGATTCTCACAAGTTTTCCGCCTTTGACAGGATGTAGTTTCACCACCTTTCTATCGCTCATTTTAATGGAAAATATTTCCATTTTCTTTCTCTGGCAGCTCCTGCCTTATACAGGTTCCAGCTTTCATAGGTTTTCCTGTATTTTAAATTGAGGTATCAGGGCAAATCTCTGTAAGGAGGAATTTTTAAACTGAGAGCTGAATGACAAGGAGGCAGCATGTTGGGGGAATGCATTACTACCTGAAGGACCACACAGTACAAAGAATCTATGATAGGAATGAGCTTGGCATGCTAGAGTACTGAAAAAAAAAAAAAGCTACTATATCGGAGCTGGAGTACAATGGATGAGCAGAAGAGCAGCCTGAAATGAGCTGGAGAAACAGCAGATCAAGTAGAGTTTAAATATAGGGTTAATGGAGTATTTTCAAACGAAAGCCTCCTTTGTTTAGAATAAAACCCAAAGAATTTGGGTTTTAGCCTAAATGGGATGAGAAATCATTCCAAAGTTTCAAGTAAAAGAAGGACATACATAACCACACTTGGAAAAAAAAAAAATGAAGATTATTCTGGATGCTATATGAAAGGTGAAATGTCAGGTAGTAGCGAAAGTATAAGCAGAGAACAGGCTAGAAAGTTACTGCTATAGTCCAAGAAAGAGACAGCAGTAGCTTGGACAAGACTGTTGCAGTAAAGATAAGTAAATGAATTTGAAGGCAAAGACAACAGGCCTTGCTCATGAATTATAGTAGGGTTAAAAAAAAAAAAAAAAGTAATCAAAATTTTGGCTTAAGAAATTAAGTGGCTAATGGTACCTTTAGGAAGAGAAAAAGCAGACTAGGGGAAGAAGGAATCAAGTAGTATTTATTTACCAAATTAAATTTGAAGTACCTAGTACTCATCATACGAGATGTCAAATAATTAAATGCACAAGTCTGGAGTACTGAGAAGAGACCAAGACAACAGATAAAAGTGATAGGCTTCAAATATTTGCAAGTAAGATAAAAAAGGTTGCTTTCCAAAATTAAACTTTGAATCAACAAACAATACACCAGAACAGATTAATGTAAAGAGACTTAATGGCTTCTCGAACAGCTAGACTTGACTACAGCCTGAATGAAGGCATTATTTTCTTTAAGAATGACTGTGTACCAAAAGAAGGAGCTCTGGTGGTATTGTGGTTAAAGCACTGGGATGCTAAACAAAAGGTCAGTGGCGTGAACCCATTAGCTGCTCCATGAGAAAGGACAGGCACTCTGCTTCTGTAAAGATTTACAACCTTGGAAACCCTATGGGGCAGTTCAACTCTGCCCTCCGCTATGAACTGGAATGGACTCCATAGCAGTGGGTGGGTGTATATTAAAAGAGGGCTGTTTAGTCTTGGGAGGGACAGAAAAGGAAAGTCTCTGAGGCAAATGCTGCTAGTGCCATTCAGACACTCTTGAGGGCACAGCAGAGGACACCGCTGTGCTGGACAGGCACTCCCCAATGCCCCTCCAAAACCCAGGCTTCTGTATGCACTGCTCCCACTACATTGTTACCACAACCAACTTGCCTTGCCTATCTCCCCTACTACATTGTAAGTCCTTGAGGGCAGGGTCTGTTTTGTTCATATATTAATCCTCTGCCTCAGTCACACCACCTGGCATATCAAAGACTCTTAATAAACACTAGATGATGGAGAGGTAGGGAGGTAGGGAGGAAGGGAAAAAACAGGCAGACAAAAGCTGAGTATGCAATATTACTGCTCATTGAGGGTAATAATGTCCTAGGATAAAAGAAGTGGGTGGAATTTTTAAAGTAAGCTTTGGGAACAGTGATTTTATTTTTCCCCTTTCTTTCCAGAGATAAATACAAATGAACTATGCTAAAAAGAAGGCAATATCTCATATTATTTTACTTTCTAAAAAAGGTCTACCTTGGAAAAAGTGTGCCTCCTGAACTGATAAAAAAGAATATAGGAAGCACATAGCATCACAACTATTGTTCCTAAAAGAGTTGGTCCTGAATCTAATCAAATGTGAAATCTAACTACCCAGAGAGAGAAAAATATGTTAATCACGCCACAAGGATGCAACCAGCCTAAAGCAAAATGTGAGAAATTCTATGGGACAAATGATCCAATTTCTTCAACAAATGAGTAACATTAATTCAAGGACAGATTAAGATAAAATACATATCAACCCAATACAGTGCTGTAGACTTTATTTGGATACTTAATTTTATTTAGGGGAGAAAAAAATGTGAGACATTTTGAGACAATCAGAGAAATATGAACAAGTACTAGATATCAGAAGATAATAAGTAATTATTGTTAATTCTGTTATATGTGATACCCACACCCACTGCCATCGAGTTGATTCCAACTCATAGTGACCTTAAAGGACAGAGCAGAACTGTTCAACGGGGTTTCCAAGGCTGTAAATCCTTAAGGAAGCGCGCTGCCACAAAGCAGCTGATGGGTTGAAACCACTGACCTTTTGGTTAGCAGCGAAATGACTTAACTACTGTGTCACCAGAGTTCCTTATAGACATAATAAAAGATTAGCAGGTGTCGGGTCTTTTTATTTAAGGCCTTATTTATTTTTTCAGAACCATGCTGAAATATTTATGAAATGATATGATGCTTGGCACATGCTTTAAAATACCCCACCCCACCCCCTAACTCAGTACCCAAAAAAGGAATCAATGAAATAAGATTGGCAAATGTCAATCATTATTGAAACTGGATAATGGGGTTCATCAGAGCATTCTTTCTAACTTTGTGTGCTTGAAAAGGTGGAATAAAAACCCAACAAGGAATATTTTTAAAGTCTACTTCCATGAAGAGAATTTAGTAACTTTTTAAAACACAACTATTAAACTATCTTGAGAACAAAACTCAGTGATGTGTCCATGTCAAAAAAGAGAAGAAGCAGTTTAAGTTATAGTTTCTAAAAACAGCCATTACCAAAAAATAAAAACCTACTTTGAGTTTCTGTTCTGTAAGTTTAAATAACATCCTATCTTTAAACTTGCACTTTCACCTGGATGAAATTAGCTGAGGGTTAATTCCAGGCCATAAGACAGATTTGCCAACCTCTTGCTAACAGATAAAACTTCTGTGCATATTTCATGTTCATACTTAAATTATTACAAGTAGAAAAGATGTAACAGAAATTCTTGTTTATGGAAGTTTTTTGGATGACTTGTTATAAAATATGTATGAATTTTACTTCTGAAAATATTCAATATTCTAATACCTTCATTTAACCTATAAAACACTCTACAGTGAAATAAATTCACCTATTAGTGACATAAATAGCATGGCATCATTTGTCATTTGACAAACTAGAAACCACAAGAGCCTCCAAGCTTTGTGCAATTGTGTTCATATGCAATCAGTCACATTTCACCCCAATAAGGAAGTAAGATAATACAGTAACACTTACAAATAGTTCTGCTAGAGTTTTTGTCCAAGGCTGAAGTTTTTACTTCTTCAAATTCTGGATTCAAAAGGAGACAGAAAATGCTTTAGCAACTCTAGTTTCTTTTCAGTGAACACCCTTAAATACTTTAACTACATTTTCTGAATTTTCTCTCACATAGTTTTGTGTTCCTTTGGGACAATGCCTAAACAATTAACAAAATATTTGTTGTAAGGTAATAAAGCTACATTACTATTCTGATAATTATTACTACAAGCATGACTGAATAAACTGTCATTAACTAAAGGGTATTGCTTATAAGTTGTTCAATGCAAAAGGGTTTCTGTGGTCCTAGAAGTCTGAGAAAAGACACAGTCTATATTATCTGTTTGGAAGTTCACAGTGCACATTAGCAGAGTGTAAACTCTCTAAAGAGTTCTAAAGTGACAAAATTGGTCTAATCCAGTAATCCCTAAACTCATACGATAAATGAACCTTTTCTTGCCAGTAATAACTATTAATATTCCAGGACAGATATATCTTCAGTTGTGGACAGTGTTCTTATCTCTAACTACTTTCCTTCTAACTTTTTAAACATGGTGGACTGGAAAACCAGATAAATAAATACATTAGGATCATATGTTGTTAAAGCAAGAGTCATGAATATGTACTGGAAGACTGGAGTGGTCAAAAGTATGACCACCAAATAAACATGGTGGTACTACATTAAGTATAAAACAGAATAGAAAATGGCACCAACATAGAATTTTAGTGTAAATTTTCACCTACATATTAAAGAAAACAGAGAAGGTATGGGATCTTCTGGATATTAGCACCAGAGAAATCCACAGACCCCACTGTGTCTGGCCATCATTCTGCTATGAAGCATTAATTCAAAAAGCACCATGATACAGTCACTGCCCATGTCTCTAGAGACTGGGAGCCAGGTGTTCTACACTGACTGGCCTCTCACATACTATCTCCTCATATCAACTGTATAATGACCTGGTTGGACTAGAGAATCTCCAAAAGTCCCCTTTGGCTTTAAAATTACATGAAAGCACATACATAAACTGAATACACTAAACTGGAAAATATATCAAAACCCCAAAGCTTGTTATTGCTGTTGACGGCCCACGGAGTCAATTCCAACTCACAGCAATCCCATGTGATAGAGCAGAATTACCCATAGGGTTTTCCTGGCAGTAATCTGTATGGAAGGAGACTGTCAAATCTATCTCCCACAAAGCTACTGGGTGGGTTCAAACTGCCGAACTTCAGTTAGCAGCCAAGTGTTTAACTGCTGCCCATCAGGGCTCCTTAGATAACTTTTCATATTTAAAATGTCTATTCTAACACAGTGTAAATTATTTTTGGCATGTGTCTGGACATTAGTCATTATTACACACCTGCTGGACTTGTGTATTTTCATTAACATTCAGCAATAATTTCAATTAGGAAATGTGTTGAGAAGTAGTTTAACAAAGAAGCTAAGAGCATAGTCACATCCTAGCTGTACCACTTGGCCATCTAACCTTGGCAAGTTGGTCAGATTCTCTAAGCATCAGCTTCCTCATCTGAAAATGGAGATAAATAAGAGAACCTGATGCCTAGGGTTTATTGTAAGGACTAAATGGGTGTAATATATGTAAAGTACTTAGAATATAATAAACATCCAGTAAGTTTAAGGGTTTCTTTCCAACCTTAGGTACTAACTAGTTCTATCTTTGTGAACTTACACTTGAGGTTATTTTACCTCTCTGGAACGTAAAAGAGTAAGTGTAAATAGAACTCTGAATTTCTTTGATTTATTATCCAACATGCTGGAACACCTTTATATCCACTGTTAATTTCCTGAGAAATAAATAATCCAAAACCAAAACCTACTAATATTTATTAAGTGCCCACATATTAAGTTATTCCAAGCATTAGGGTGAACTAAATTAATTTTTCAAAAAACAGGAACTCTGAAGCAAGTAATACATCCATTTTACAGATGTAAAATTTGAGACTCAAGAGAGGTTAAGATACTTGTCCTAACATCCTGCAAAGAGCAGAGCTGGTTATTCCAAGGCAGGTCTATCAGGTCCCATGACCATGCTCCTGCACATACATTAACTTTATAAAGGAAATGTAGTTAACACTCAGTAATTCAGGGACCTCTATCAGATTTGCCTGATTTTTTCACCACTTCAGCCTCTGGGACTATTTCACATTCCTAATGGAAAATTGGGAGCTCTGGTAGCATAGTGCCTAAGGCACTTGACTGCTAATCAGAAGGCTGGCGGTTCAAACCCATCAGCCACTCCTCGGAAGGACGATGGGCCAATCTACTTCTGTAGTGATACTGCCTCAGAAACCCAAGGTGGGGTCGCTGTGAGTTGGGTCTGACTCGACAGCACATAACAACAACAACAACAATGGAAAACATCCTAGCAATTCTGATAAAAGATTTTAAGAAAGCAGGAACCAAGTGGGACATGAGTGTGATTCATAGCTATAAACTATCTGGGGATTATCTAAGACTTTCATCTGTAAGTGTTTTTTCTTTTCTCATTTGAAATTACAATCAAATCAAGATTTGGTTATAATTAAATCTGAAAAATGATAACAAAATATATTTTTGATTTTCTCATATCTACATGAAACACATATTTTGGTAAATAAATTCCTTACTTTTGTAGCACATTTTCCTTCGTTTAAAATTTAAGACTGTAAAATTTTTTGAAGAATTTACTGTCAAGTTGAGTTGCATTAATATCATAACTTCAGAATCTACTTTGCCAGTACAGGAGAGCTCAACTCTAAACACTGTTAAAAAAAAGAATAAAAAATAATTAATTTTCTGAAAATCAACATTAATGTTTAAAAAAATAGTTCATTAAACATTTAGAATCATTTGATTCACTTCTGCTGCATTAAAACTAAAAAGACATTTACATAAAATAACTAAAGAGAAATTTGCAGAGAATTTATCTTTAGACTAACACAACTTCAGACATTATTTCGTTCATTACATATAGACGAACCAAGACATACATGAAGAGTTAATGCTTGCTCATGATTTTTGATATATGCTTCATGAGTCCCAGTATTATAATTCCCTAATAGCATCAAAACGCAAACATTGCTAACCTTACCAGCCACCTGAGCAAGACTAACAGCAAGAATCACTTGACAAAAAGAAACACAGTTCACTACCAAAATGCAATTATGTATTACTCATAACAAGGAGATAAAATAGAAACCTGTAAGCAAACCTAATAAATTCTCAACTAGGAATATAAAACTGACACTTTTCTAAATACAAACTGGCTTCATCATTATCTGTGGGAACAGGATTACAGACCTTTTTGTTGTTGTATGGCATCGAGTTGATTCTCATTCATTGTGACCCTCTATGATAGAGTAGAATCACCCCACAGGGTTTCCTAGGCTGTAATCTTTATGGGAGAAGATTGCCAAGTCTTTGCTCCTATACACAGCTGGTGGTGAATCTGAACCCCTGATCTTTTGGTTAGCAGGCTAGTGCTTAACCACTGTACTTACCATGGCCCCTTAACAGATCTTAGTGCATATCATGTTTTTTTTTTTTTTTTTTCTATCTTTCAATTTCAGATTATTTTTCTATAAATTGAGAATAAATCCTTCTATCACCTGCATGAGTATATAAGAGATATGGGCATTTCTGCATTTCTTTACTGACCTCTTAAAATTAACTAGACTTCTTATTCTTTCTTAAAGCTTAGATTAATACAGGTCATTAATAACAGTGGGTAAGATCTCCAGAAAAACTATTGTGGCTTATACTTTCAATTTATAAAAATAACCATTTTCTCAAAATCTGACTTCCTCAAGTGCCTTGCTCAAAGATTAGTTTTAAAAGTAGTTGTAATTAAAATCATTACAAAAAAAGAAAAATAAAAAGACCAGGTTTACTGGTCTGATTAGAGCCTGGTGAGATCCTTGAGACTGTGGCCCCTATTTCCCAAGTCTGGAACTGAACTCACTCCTGTGGCTTCCAGCCAAACAAGAGACAGGCATACATCAGGTAGATGCACTCCCTAGAGCGATCAATCATGGGAGATCACAAAGGCAGTGTCTGCACAAGGAGATAGCTCAGGGGGCAGGAATGCATAGGAAAGGACACAGGGAAGTGGTAACTACAGGGAGGAAGTGGGAAGAGAGCTTTTACATTGTGGGGAATTGTAGTCAATGCGATGAAACAAAATGTATATAAACTGCTGTATGGAAAATGGATTTGCTTTGTCAAATTTTACCCAAATCATAATAAAAATTAAAAAAAAAAAAAAAAAAAAAGGTAGTTTTTCTGGTGCAAGGATGGCACTTAATTCATTTACTCGGACATGTACCGAGTGCCTACCCTTCCCAGTTACCATCCTAGGCACTAAGGGTCTACCTCTACCAGCTGCTATCAAATCAGTCCTGACTTCACGATGTCCCCATGAACTGGGCTCCACAGGGTTTTTAATGGCTAATTTTTGGGAAGTAGACCTCAAGGTCTTTTTTCCAAGGCACCTTTGAATGGTTTCAAATCTTCCACCTTTCAGTTAGCAACCAAGCATGTTAACTGTTTACACCACCCAAGGACTCCTAGCACTAGAAGGAGAGAGCTGAAAAAGAGCTGTTATCTTCAGAGTGTCACCCCTAGCAGGGCAAGACAAACACAAAGAATTACAAGATAATCTGATCAGTTCAAAAAGTTAAATACAAGGAAAACTGGGGGTTTGAGTCTACCCAGAGGGATCTTGAAAGAAAGGCTTGGCAATCTACTTCCAAAAAATCAGCCATAGAAAACCCCATGGAACACAGTTCTACTGATACATCTGGGGTTACCATGAGTTGGAGTCAACTTGACAGCAACTGGGGGGGGGGGGTCTGGGGCAGGAAGAACAGGAGAAAGAGCCATCAGTTGTGGGGAGAGGAGAAGACAGGAAAAAAACAGTTGCCAAAGTAACAGGGAGGCCTAATCTCCTGACCCTCTCTAACTGCACAAGAGGAGGACAGAATCACCATCAATAGCCCAAGGCCTATTCCTACGAGGCCAGACATGCTGCCTCCCTCCAGCCCTTTCATCAACCCTGACACCAACAGTTCCTCCCACAGCACCCACCACCTTTCTGCTGGGTTCGATAATATGCTGCAGTGGTCACACAGAACTCACAGATTATGGGTCTTAATAGGGAAGCACCAGGCTACAATTCAAGTTCAGGAACAATGCTCAGTCTCTCTCAGCCTGCTGTCTCTCAGCCAACAGTCTCTCACACTCTCTCTCCCACTAGTGTGTGTCTCTCGGTGTCTCTCTCAGCAATGTGTGTCTCTTTCCCAGCAGCGCATGTCTCTCAGGTGTGTGTTTCTCTCAGGAGCGCATTTCTCTCAGCAGCACGTCCTTTCCAGACAGCAGTCAGAGACACTTCTTCTGCCTCTAGGAGGCCTCCTTTGGAGCCTGGCAGAATGGTCAACTAACCAATCAAAACATCAGAATTCTAAGCACCTGAGAGAGAATGAACTTCCGGGAACACTGCTTTGTGCCACTGCTCAACAGAAATATCCCAGGTGGATAACTTTAGCAATCAGGAGCGCCTCAGTTGCTCATGGCAAATCCACCTCAAAGTTTACAAAGACTTATGGGTAGAAAAGGCACACTAAATAATTTACTACATCGCAGGCCACCCCCTGGCTTTTCTAGCCATTATCCCTTTTATATTTCAAAAATTCACATCCCCTTCACCATCAGTTTAAGAACAACCACGCCCATGAAAGTGTGTAAGCCAGCCACTTCATGCCTTTATCTTCTCCCATTTTAAACAGCCAATTACTAATTTGCCCATCCCTATCAAACCAGTACTCTTGAGGAGACAAGCATGGTCCTTTATCTCTGGAGAATCTTCTGTTCTGCCTGGAAACTTCAGGCATCTGGATCCATAAACAAGCAGAGTCCAGCCCAGCGCAGGCCATCAAATTGCAGCAATTTAACACCAGCTCAGTGTCAAACATCTTCCTCTTCATTTGGTGGGGTTCTGATCATCTCAGCCCTTGCCATCCCAGCTAGGTCACGGGTACCAGCTGCCAAGTTTGGAAGTCACACTCTTCCCTTCACTTCAGACCAGCCAGCACTTTTTCTCACATCCTCAGTCCTCAGGGACTATGTCAATGCCCATAGGATCAAAATTCATTGCACTTCAGACCAGCCAGCCCTTCCTCTCATCCCCAGCCTCCATGGCCTAGGTCAAAGAGTACCAAACTCAGCCCATTTCTTCTTTGCTGCACTACCCCCATTTTCACTCAAGTGGACCCAGGTGGTCACAAGCGAGCAGCATACAAGCCTGCTGCTCACTGGCTTCCTTTAACTTTCAGTCCTGGAAGGGGTTTCTCTCATGGACCATGACTTTCCTGCCTTGATGCACCCAAAGCCTAAATGCTTGCTCAAAATTCAAAATGCCAGTTACTTTTTTTTTCTATTCAAGTCCTTCAAATGCAAAGTTTCTATTCCCTCAGTAGTATTGGGT